GCATGACACAGGGGAAAACACCCAGGGGAAATGTGGGGCAATCCCATATATCCTGAAGTCACAGAACCTGCTGAACTCTTTGTTGTACTGGCCCTTAGCCCCAAAGGATTGAGACTGAGGACATCGAACTTGCAAATGTCATTGCTGGAGCCATGGGGATATCTTCCATGAGCTGTTGGCACCTGGCCTACTTTGTTCATGCCCATTCATAGGAGAAGTAAGTGGAATCTGATTCATAAACTTGCGTGGGTGATATTATGCCACCCCCTGTTTTTGTTTGGACACCCCATGTCCTGCAAGGATGCTCTGGGTACTGTGACATTACTGGTGGTAGAAATATCAGTGGGAAGAAACTGGTAGTTTATATATGAGGTGACCCTGCAATCCAGCACTGCAGCAAGTAAACTTTATTGTGAATGCCTGTAGTGGGTCTGACTGAGGTAAAGTTCACAGCTCTTACAGTGCTGTGCTTTGCACTGGTAGCTGGACAGGTGCTGATAACAGAGCAGTGTTTTTGCTACTGCCAAACAGCGCTGTCCCTCTGACATTTCTTCTCCCATCAAAGGGAATGGGAGTGGGCAAGATCCTGGGAGGGGACTCAACCAGGACAGCTGACCCAAATTAGCCCAAGGGATATTCCATACCATATAACTTCAGCTGAGATATATAAGTTAAGGGGAGAGAGGAGGAAGGGGGGGCCATTAGTGAGTTTTCAATGTTGGCTCTCCAGAGGAATTGAAGCCCTGCTTCCCAGGAAATGTCGAAACATCACTGCTGATGTGAAATAGAGACTGACTTTTGCTCTCTTTAGCTCTTGCACATGCAGACACACACCTTCCTGGAGTGTGTGTGTGTAGAGATTCCTCCTTGGAGTGGAGATACCTCTCAGGATCACTTCTCAAGGCTGAGCCAAAGAGATTTGACCATGGTCATTGGTATGTCTGAGTAACATCAATCTCTACTTAATTGTTTTTGGTTTTAATATAACTGCTTTAATATATTTGCTTCAATACTGCTTCATAGTGCACAATACTATACTAGTAGTTATAGCTTCCATATTGTGAACTAAATAATTCTGATTAACATATTTTTGCCTTATCATTATTATCATAAATCATATAATTATGTAAATATGTATGGTTTGCAATCCTCAAACCTGTGGGACAAGTTATATAAAGTTTCGATTACATCTATATGATCCTTTAGACGTAAACAATTGACAAAATCTGGGGCTAAGATTGGATCCAGATGAACCCAGACAGCTCCCTGAGAAGGAGTGAGCAAGGGGGTCCTTTCTGCAGCTCATGACTCAACATGAAGGCTTCTCTATTAACCTTTGCCTGAAGCTCCCATTCTGCCCATAAAACCACCCTCAAAGGAAAGGGACCCCCCAGGATTCCTAAATGTTCATGGTCAAAAGGAACAACAAAAATAAGAAGATACGTAAAATTTCACAAGGTTTTATTAGTAAATTATACACTTGGCATAGAAATTGTTATGTTAGTCCCTAAATTACTCTGTAAGTACATGGCAATTGGTACTCTTTTATGGATAAATTTCCCTAACCTGAAGACAGGTTTTTCACTTCCTAATGGAAATTAGATATCATGTGAAGTCTGTTATCTCAGACCTTCTTGGAAATAAATCAGAGGTCTTTGGGAGTCTTGGGTTGTCTTGTTCCCCTTTACTCCATTGTTCCACTCTACTCTGTTCTGGTGAGACCTCACCTGCAGTGCTGCCTCTAGCTCTGGGATCCACACCAGAAGAACACAAAGCTGTTGGAGTGGGGTCCAGAGGAGTCCACAAGGATGCTCCAAGAGCTGGAGCACATCTGCCCTGGAGAGAGGGTGAGAGAACTGAGGGTGAGAGAGCCTGGAGAAAAGAAAGCTGTTGGGAGAACTTGGACCCCTTCCAGTGTTTAAAGGGTTTTAAAAGAGAGAGGGAGTTTGGACAAGGGTATGGAGTGACAGGACAAGAGGGAATGGCTTTAAACTGAGAGCAGGTGGGGTTAGATTAGATATTAAGAAGAAATTCTCTACTGTGAGAGTGGTGAGGCCCTGGCACAGGTTGTCCAGAGAAGTTGTGGCCGCTCCATCCCTGGAAGTGTTCAAAGCCAGGTTGGACAGGGCTTGGAGCCACTGAGGATAGTGAAAGGTGTCCCTGCCCATGGCATGGAAGCTGAGTCTACATGAATGGTCTTTGAAATTCCTTCCAACCCAAACCATTCTGTGATTCTATGACATGCGGCAAAAGCTCCTGAGCCTGTTCCACCCAGGATGTGAGGCTTATTCCCGGGGACAGTCACTGTCAAACAGGGAAACCTGTCCCCTCCCATAGAGCTCAGTTAAAGTGTCCTCCAGCTCCCCCAGTGTGAGGAGCTGAACCTGGTTCTTGTCGTTCTCAGCGATGACCGCCCAAGCTTTTATGTAGTTGTTGTCCATCACACAGCAGGCAGTTGACCAGAGGTAGCTGGGTTTATTAACCCTCCCCTTGGCAATGTAGTTGTTCCCAGGCACAGCTCCCACGATGACATAGGTGGTTTTACAGTCCTGGGTCCTCCTGATCATTGTTTGCTGCTCGTAGTTGTTCCAGGCACCGCCGTTGAGTTTCTCATCCTGGGGCACTATATTGGTGAGGGTGAAGGTAGCCATCCTGCTGCTGTAGTCATCATGGTGGCCATTGGGGTTCAAATGGCCTCGGTTCAAACCCGTCAGGTTCTTGTAGTCATGAAGGATAGCCTGGCTCTGTCTGAGTTTCTCTAAGCTGACATTGTATCGATTTAAGAGTGTCCATTCTTTTTCCATAGTTTTAGGATAATTTAGGCCAATCAGCTTGACAGGAAAAGAGGAAATGGTGTTAGTATTAGGGATGGGATAATGGAACAGATTTTCCTAAGCAGAAGTCTCTTGAGTGTCAAGATCCCATTTTTTTGTCTGGTCCTGATGTGGTACAATACCAGATAAGTTACTTGAGTTCCTATGAGGAACTAGTGCAAATATCTTTTTATTTCAGAAATTCATTTCACATTTACTGCATTATATTTAGCTTTCCTTTGGAACACTGCATATGGGTTTATTCTGTGATTCATTTTCACCTAAATGCCATCCTGCCACTCTGTCCTCAGCAATGACATGAATTGCCTCTTTTTGTGTCTGTTATTTCCTTGGTCTGTTTTCCTAAAGTTCTGAAGTTTCTCTGAAAGACATTGGTGAGGGTTCTGTCAGTCTGCTGGATCCTTCTGGATCTTTGTGCCTGAGCCAAAGGTGCTCAGGGGTCACTGCCCATGCATGGAGATCACACCCTTCTGACTCGACTGACACTCACTTTCCACTGTCTGAAATGTCACTCCAGACATCCCTCCACAGTCAACCTGACCCTTGAATCTCCAGTGCCTGAGCCTGCCATGGCTTTGTCTCTGGGCCATCTCACCCCCTTTGAGTTTCTCCTCACTTCTCTCACACCACTCACAAAGCCTGTTTAACTCTTCACTGGGAGCAGATAAGCTCTGTCAGGGATGCAGAACAGCTCAGGATAAAGTGGGGATCAGATCCCTGCCGGACCATTGATTCCTCAAATTTAGCTGCTGTTGGATGTCTTTTGCCCATTACTGGTTCTCCCACCACAGCAGGGCACAGGGAGTAAAATAGTTTGACCTTGTAATATAAGGCAAAGTAATTTGATTTACTCTTCCTGTCAGGTCAATGCTAAAAATTAGCACCTTTGGGATATGATTCATCTCATCCTCCTGCTGATGTCTCAGATGCATTAGGGGAATCATGTGATGAAGGTGTTTGAAGTTAAATGAGGAGAATCCCATCCAGTGTGTCCACTTGCATGTGTTTAGAGGGGTGGGACAAAATAGAAATGGTTATTTTAATACTGCTTTTAATGACTGGATGGTGATGTGCTATAAGAGACACTCACCTGGGGCTCAACCAGCCATGTTTTAGGTCTTTTGCCAGGTCCAGGCTGGTAGATGTAAGCAGAGTAGACAGGAATACGCATCTTCATGTCGTACAGGGTGGCAAAGTAATACTGGTTCTTGTAGCGCTGGCAGATCCAGGCTGGTTTCTGCGGCTCCAGGGCTTCATTTGGGGGGATCTCCCGGAAAAAAAACTGAGGACATGAACTTTCAAAGGACTTCACCACCTCGCTGTGTCCCAGCCAGAGGCAGCTCGCCGTCACCTGCAGCAGCAGCAGCCACAGCATTGCAGGAGGATTTCAGTGAAGGGCTCTTGCTCCCCTGGAAGGTAAATGCAGAGGAAGGGTCTATAAGAGACCAAGGAGGGGGTAACTTCTGTCCTCCTGGACATGGAAAAATCAGCGCTATAGAGTTGTGCAGGCAGACAACTGGGGGTAAAAGGATAATGGTAGAAAAGTTACATGGGAAAATACAGTTACTCCTCCCTGGATGAAACACAGTCAGCATACCTGGCCTCCCAAACACAAGGACTAAATCTAAGGTGGGCCTAAACAGCAGGTGGATTGGAGTGGAGTGGAGACACCATGGCCAGGCTCTGTCAAAACCCTTACAGAGAAGACACCTTGGTGATATTTTCTAGCTGATAATCTGCATGGAAACTGAAAACCATGGGAGATAAATGAAGATGTCCTGCAGCTGAATCAGCAACCATGGCAAAATTCCTCTCCTTGGACAGACACACATCCCCATCTCAAGGTTACTTGGATGATATTATTGAGATATCCACCCCCAAGGCATGAGAACCCCTCACTGAGAAAGAGGTATGACTACATGCAAACACCATCTAAATGTAAAGGAATAGTATAAAAGTGAATTAAAAATGGAGAGAAGTAATGGAAGACTCCATTGTAACTTCTGGGATCAGTTGATGAGCTAAACCTACCTTTTCTCCCTTAGGGATGCCTATTGGGTAAGAATCCTACTTTATGCATGCTGAATGATTACCTCATTGGGGATTAAAGTTTATTAGTATGTTGTTCTGAATAAGTAGCTTGCTTTGAGTATCTTTTTGCAATCAGATACTTTCACTGGCAAACCTCAAACCTTAACCTGTCACAGTTTTACTGACAGTATTATTCTGTTAACAGTTAAAGGGAGTCCTTCAGAGGTGCTGGCAGTTTTTGGCAGTGGGTAAAGGTGTGGAGACCCAGGAGGGATTTCTCTGGTTGGTGTGTGACCCTGAACAAGCCAGTCAATCCCTCCAGCCCAGAGAGCTGCTCAGTGTAGGGTCCCCACAACAGGACACCAACAGACTGATAAGGCAGGAGGGTTTTGGCATTCATGTGGCCCTGACAGACTGAACACACGCTAGAGGTTTGAGCAAATCTCCCTTTTTCACATGAGAAGGTGAAATCTAAAAGAGGTTTTAGGTGCCCAGAGAAGGCAATGGTGGGGAGCATAGTCTGTCTGAGGGGTGCTCCAAACCCACCCAATGCCTAAACAGCTCTTGCAGCAAAGTTATCATGGAACTGAGATATGGCAGTGGGACAAGGTCACCTTTTCCAACCTACCTCTGTTGGTCAAGAGCTCAGCTTTTGCACTGGCACTGGAGAAAAAATCCTGCAAGAAAACAGGGCCTGGAAGCCCCTACTTCCAAATATGGTCTCATAGAATCACAGAGGATGCTGTGTTGGAATGGACCCATCAGGATCATTGAATCGAACTTCTGGCCCTGCCCAGGACAGCCCCAGAAATCCCACCATGTGCCTGACAGAATTGTACAAACACATCTTGTACTCAGGCAGGTGTGGGGATGTGACCACTTTCCTGGGGAGCCTGTTTCAGGGCTCAGACACCCTCTAGGTGAAAAACCTCTTCCTGATATCCAGCTTAATTCTTCCCTGACTCAGTTTCAGGCCATTCTCACTCCCTCCTGCTCTGAGCACCTTCCCACAGCAGACACCTGCAGCTGGGCACGGACTCTGCTCAGCCCCCTGCAATGCTGAGCTGGGCTTTAATCTCATGGGGCATTGGGCAGGGAAAGAACAGCAATGCTGCACTTCCTACATGTCTCTGGCTCCATCCACGTTCACAGACATGCAGCTCTTCCAGCCAGACCCACTACTGAACCCAAAGTAATCCAGCTTGGGTTCCTGCCTCTCAGCTGACACTGGGACATTAAGCTACTTATACCCTTGGCTCTGACACAGGAAATGTGATCCTTTTCCTCTTTAGCAGCCCCGGATCAGGAATGTGGTGACCAGTAAGCTGGAAACTAAGAACAGGAACAAGAAGTGGTGACTTTTTTCAGTACTCTGCAGAACATGCTCATAGCTGCCCCAAATCAAGCAGAGAAGTTCCAAAAAAGTTCTTTTGCATGATCCCCTCCACGAGCTTAAAATATATTTAACTAACTTAATAACTAAGTTAATATCAGATATATAGAAACTAACCTACCTTGGGAAAGAGCTGCACAGGATTCTGCTCACAGCCCCAAAGTGGCAGAGGACTCTCAAATGCCTCTGCTGCAGTCCCAGACTGTTTTTATTTATATGCTCTCCAAGTAGGCAGAGCTGTCAGATTTCCCCAGCAGGGTTTAGAGTGAGTTTGTCCAGGAGTTCAGCCACCTGTGTTTGTCCAGAGGCCTCTTGCAAGGTCATGGGTAGAGTTTTGGTGCTCAGTAAACTCACCCCTCCTTTTTATTCAACAGTTTGATGTTAATTTTACAGGTGACTTGGCTTGAAATTCATTCCCAAATCATTCCTTCTGTCCTTGCTCTCCTTTACAAAAAGTGTTAAAGAGCTGCAAAATTTAGTGCGTGCATAGGCTCTGATTGCTCCTGGGAGAGCAGATGTTGGAACTCAGCAACTCCAGCCTAAGCTTTCTCTCTATATATTTATTCCACACTTCAGGAAAGACTTGAAATATTGGAATAAATGCTGAGGGAGGAGCAAGAGCTTACCTTGAAGCAGAGTCTCAGAACAGGCAGCCAAAGAGTTCCTTTCGTCTTGTCCCTGGAGAAACACTTGACTGATCCCTCAGGAGTCCCAGAGCAATATATACCCGGTCATAAATCTGCTTGTTGTGGTAAACAGGGAATTTCACTGAAAATAAAGGTTTTCTGTTATTATTCAAGGAGATTTGTTCACACCTACCCTGAAGTGGGGTGACAGTTGCTATTTGCAATTTCCTCAGGATTTCTCCCAGGTTCTTGCAGCATCACGTGTGAGGGGAAAATAACTGGGTCTGGTGACTTATCTGTTCATTTCCTCATTCCCCACAAATGGGGACCTACATGTGTTTCTGTTCCTGGCAGAAAATCTCTTGTGGCATTATACTGACTGGCCTGTCTTTGAGTACACACAGATGTTCACACTCTGCTCTTCTGCAGCCTCTCAGACTCAATTAGTATGGTCAGGCTGCATATTTTCCCTTGTCTGATTGCAAAAGCTTCGTAAGAGCTCTTATTCGCATAAAGCCTCCTGCTGAAAAGGGTCTGGGAGACCTTAGAGCCCCTTTCTGTGCCTGAGAGTGGTTCACATGAAGAGGAACTTTTGAGAAGGGCGTGAAATGACAGGACAACAGAAAGCAGCTTCAAACTGATAGAAGGCAGGGTTAGATTAGATGTTAGGATTAGATTTTAGTCTCAAGAAGAGCAGGCTCAGGGCACTCTACAATTACCTGAAAGGAAGTTGTAATGAGGTTGAGGTTGGTCTCTTCTACCATGCCAGTAGTGAGAGGACTAGAGGAAAAGGCTTTGAGACAGGGAAAATTCAGATTAGATATTAGAAAAAACGCTTTCAACTGTCACATAAGCAATGGAAAAAGTTTCCTAGAGAGGTGCTGGAGTCACCATCCCTGGAGGTGTTTCAGAGGCATCTGGATTTGGACTGGGTGATATGGATTTAAGGTTTACAGTAGTAAAAGTTTACAGTAGTGCTGGGAGGATGGTGCGACAGGATGACCCCAGAGATCTATTCCAACCTTGGATTCTATCATTTCTCTTTTTGGCTTCCCAAGTATTTCACAAGCTTGCTGTGGATGGCAGGGCATTTCTGGGTGCTGCCAGGGGTAAAGGACAGCCCAGGGAGCTGATGGAGGTGGGATTCATGGGGTTGGTCAATCACCCATAGCTCCAGAGCCTGGAAAGCAGAAGCAGTGGGCATGGGATGAGCAGTGGTGAGGATGAGTGTGGTCTCAAGCCCCAGCAGGTGTGCAGAGGTGGGTGAGCAAGTCAAAGGGAGCCCCCTGAGGTACAGCAGAGGTATCTTCAGATGTGCCTCAGCCTGAAATTGCACTGATGTTCTGGGAACTGTGACATTATTGGTAGTAGAAATATCAGCAAGAAGCAACTTGTGATTTATATGTGAGGTGACCCTGCAAACCACCACTGCAGCAAATAATTTTTACTGTGAACTACTCAGAAACTAAATGATCTGTCCTATACTGATCACCAATGCCTATTTACTGGATCTTCTCTGCCTTTCAAGTTAGTGGAGGCAGTGCCTACATGTTGCCCTGAGCTGTGCACTTTCTAGATGAGAGATGTTTAGTGAGCTCTGCTGCCCAGTGATCCAAATCCCCTGTGCTGTTTTCCATAAGACAAAGCTCCATTTCTTCAACTTATAAAAAATTCTGTTGGATCCTCTAGTCTACTTACAGTTGGAAGATCAGAGATTACTACATGAAGTACTTTTGGTAAATTTTTCATATTATGGTAGAAAAAATCCCCCAGGATTTGCAGCACTTTTTTAAGGAAATAATTTTGAAGTCCAGATCTGGCTTCTCCCAGTGGATGTTCTCCTGATTTTTCCCTTAGTTTTCTTTCTATTTGCCTTTAGATGCTAAAGGCAGCAGTCCAACTTTGTGCTCAAAGCAGGGAAAGCTGTGAAGTAGCTGAGCAAATACAGGGAAATAGAAGTAGCTCTTATGACTGCAATAGTGGAAAAAGGGGATTTTGAAGGAGAGGGCAGTACTGTTTCTACTTCAGTGATCGGACGTGGCACTCAGTGCCATAGTCTGGTTAAAAGGTGGTGATTGATCAGAGGTGTGACTTGGACATCTTTTCCAATCTAAATGATGCTGTGATTCTACTGGGAAATAAAATGAGGTGTCATCAAAGCCTTCTCTTGAGATTTCAGTCCCTGTGGAATAAGGAAATGAACAGCCAAAGAGATGCTAAGTAGATGGAAGGCTGCAGGTCTTCAAGGCAAAGTGAATCACAGCAGCAGAAGCCAAATGCACATGAGAAAACAAAATGCAAGAAGGTGAAATGTTGCTTGGACAGGTGGATTGAGGAGATTTGTGCTCTTCTGGACTGTTCTTTTTCAAGGGCAGCAAAGAGTCCACGGCCATAGGCAGGATCTGTGAGCGAGGACAGAGAGGGAACGTAGATACCTCAAGGCCAGCACACTCTACATCAACCAGGATGGTGATACATGCAGGTCTCACCTTACACACCAAGTATGTTCATAGAATCACAGAAAGAATCATGGAATGGTTTGGATTGGAAGAGACCTTAGGGATCATCCATTTCTATGCCCCCTGTTACCAAGCAATGACACCTTCCACTAGACCAAGTTGCTCAAAGTCCAATCCAACCTGGCCTTGAGCACTTCCAAGGACAGGGCATTCAGATGTTCACCTTTGCCAGGTGTACAAATGAGAGTGAGCTTCAAGTGATGGGTAAAACACTGACCCAATCAAATCAAAGATTAGAGGTTCATAGAAAAGGCAACAGCTGCTTCTTCTGTTCTTCTCCTGCATCCCAGAAGTGATCCTGAACACCTCTGCTGTGCAGCTTTCCCTCAAGGAACAGTTTCTGTGTGAAGAATAGAACCCTTGTCCAGAGCCATATGAAAAGTATCAATTTTATGGAGAAAAGTGCAAGGAAGAAGTAAGGATATAAAAGATTGACTGTGTTACCAAATCCCCCCAAGGACAGCAGATGTACATTATTCATTTTAAACAATTTTCCTCAAACCTTTCTATGCAATACTCCAAATGCTAGCTCATGGCAACCCTTGAATTTTGGAAATAAATGTATTCAACCCATTCTTTCCTCATAAGGATCAACAGCTTTTTAAATATCATACAGTTCAGCTAAAAAAGTTGGTGTGGGATTTGGATATCTTTGGCTACATTAACTCCACCAGCCCAGGTGCCACAGTCCCTGTGCTTGCAGAGCAGGTAACACTGAGGTGACAGAGGGGTCACCTCTTTGCCACCAATGAAGCAACACCCTGCTACAAACATTGACAGTTGAGAGCTGTCAGGTTCCCTGTGGTTACTCTCACTCTTTCAGTTTCTTTTCTTTCAGCTTTGGAGACCAAAAATCAGTACATTATTTTCACTTTCTGATCCTCATGGCAAAACCTCTGAACTGCAAATGACAGAGGGAGTGGACAACCACCACTGGAGGCTACAAGCCAGGTTTTGAGCCAGAAAAGGGAGAAGGATGGCAAGAAGCACACCCAGTGGAGGCAGGATGGTGTTTTTATCATGGCAATTGTCCTCCCTTACACAACTGCTCAGCTGTGGAACTCCCACCCCTCGCCCCTGGGCAAGGTCACATTCACACCTGGGCTCAACTCCCTGATGTGAGAGGCAGCTGGGAAGACTTCATAAAGCATCAAAGACTCCCTGAAGTGTCCCCAGACTCATTCCTGAGGCCTTCCACCAAAGGACTAAAAGCTTCCCCCCAAGGTGAGGTACCTGGGCATTCCCACCCAGCCTGAGCACATTTTAACTCACTGGGGACTTTTATTTGGGGGCTTTTCCCTCCACACTTGATCAAGACTGTGACCATCACTTCAACCAACAGATATCAAAATAGCAACAATAAAATCTTGTCCCTGGTTCCATACGTGGTGAGGGCTTTCTACTCTTATCCTTTCTTTCTCTTTCTTTTTTCTTTTATATATTTTCCTAAGTGATACTTTAATGGATATATACGGATATATATGGATATATATATATAAAAATACATATAAATAAAAATATATAAAAATAAATATATAAAATACATATAAATAAAAATATAAAAATAAATATATAAAATATATTTTATATATAATTGATATATATATTTACATAAATAAAAATATGGATATATGCATATATAGATATGTATATATATGTGGATATATATATATATATATTATATGGATATATAATATGGATACTAATAAAGATAATACTAACCAAAATGGCTACATACCTCCTTTCCACTGCAACCAATGTTCTAAAATAAACCCATATACATATATACATATATATATTCTTAAAAACACTGGTCATTGTTGTTTCATCCTAATCCACCCCAAGGAATCTATTAACAAGAACCTGGAGCATGGGTTTATTAACAAGAACCAAGGACCCTTCCCTTCTGGTCTCTCACACTCTGCAGTTGTTCCTCAGGTAAAGTGGAAGTCACAATGTATTAAAGCAGCTCTGGAGCCTGAATTTTGAATTTGTGAAATTTTCTTTCCACCATCTAGTGATAACAATACAATTCCTCATAAGCTACAGCAACACTCCTAAGTGTACTTCAGTTTCATGAACATTTTGGTCTGTATAGAAATTAATCCTTGCAGTGGTTTCATTCAGACACATTTTTAAGAGGATGAAATATCTTTACTTATTAATACAACCTGCTTATTAAGCCTCCTTTGATTTTTCTTCCTGGAAGATGTTTGTATATTAGGGCTAGGATTTCACCACGTATGTGGACTCCAGCTGTTGTGATTTAGCTGCTTTAAAGTTGCTCTCAGATATGCTACCAAGGTGGTCTGAGGCATGGAGCACATACCTTTGGAAAACAGGAATTCAGACTTGTTGAATCTGGCCAAAGGGAGGCGGAAGGGCAGCCCAACAGCCACCTACAGCTACTCAAAAGGTCAAGAACAACAAAGCTGAGCTCTTTGTGGCACAGCCAGGCAGTGTAACAAAGCACAGCACCCACAGATGGCTTGGGAGGCACAGGTTGCACAGCAGGATAAAAATTGCCTCTAGGCAGGTACTACAGCACTGGGACAGGTTGTTGGGAAATGACAAATGATCAGTTGCAGAGGTGACTCAAGGCTTAGCTGGATGAAAACAGCTG